AGGAAGAGGAAGGAAAGATCGCGCGTGGCCTATTTGTTAAGGCACTGCTCCGGCACTCGCGTGGTGTTGATCTGAGAAACTACGGAAAACTACTGATCGTAGCAGCCAGCAGCTAGAATTCTCCTCCGTCTGAATTCGACCTAGCTGTGTAGCTGGTGTTGAAAACCCTGTCATCGTCGGCACTCGACCTCTAGGAGGCACTGCAGTGACGTCAGTTGATACCCTGACACACCTAACAGGGGGGTGTTATTGGTAACGGTTACGTAATCCTTGTGTTGTAGTCCAGGAACCTGCGTCCGTCTGTCACGCAGGGTTAGTCTCTTTCCGGACAAGTGGAGACAAATGAAGTGGCTTTCCATGCGTCTCTGTCTCCTCGAGGGGAATTTATGATTTTATTTTACATATCCAGAAGATTCTACGAAATTTCTCTAAAAACGTGTTTTTGTTTTATTTGTTTTTTATTACATTTTAAATGAAAATTTTTCGGATGCCTTACGGCACCTTCTGCGGTGATTAATAGCTCATTTGATTCCTCTCGACAAAAGAAAACGATTGGCTCAATTTGGAACCTGTTCACTCTGGATATTCGGAATGGATTTTAGAAAAATACCTGTTTTTGATTGCTTCAATATACCTATGTAATACATTGGTGAAACACTGTAAATTACACTACTCTTTCCATTTACATGAATTGTTACGAGTTGATTCATGATTTCATACGATTCACGGTAGCTTCATCTATTTATAAAAAAGACAAAAGTTTTAAAAACAGTATTTTAAACGATACTTTTATATAACTTTCTATGCCCGGAAAATAACCAAGTCGACCATCTGTAATACTTGTATGTTTAAATTTTACTTTATTATGAGTTTTCAAAACACAAAACAAAAATTTTTACATGAAAATACCCACAGAAGCTCATTATTATAATTTAAATATTCTGAATTTTTATACCATATTACTCCTAACATGTTACTGTTAAACATTGTTTTCGGACACGCAAGCGTTGAAAACCTTGCATATACTATTTCGAAATCAATGTAATGGTATAGTCTAATTTAGAATGTTTCAACATAACTTTTTTCATCTCCGTATCAAATAAGAACTACTAGACATAAAACCATGTTCATGTTAAAGAGTAAATGTGTGAAGTCAGTGCCTGGCAGACCGAGGTGTAGTCGACCAAGAAGTGACATGGTAGGATGGGGTGGAGGAGAGGGCGGGAATGTGTATAAAATAATTTCCATTTTAACCCATAAATGTAATTCATTGCCTTTCCTCTCTAATAGATGTCTGAGATAAATACTCGTGCAATGCCAGGTACTTCAGTAACATACGGAACCACACACGATATTAGATAAACTTTTATCGTCCACACGTGGTAGCGAGATTCTAAAGCACCTGTACAATTGAGAACCTTCTTAAACCTGCTGAAAAATAATTAGTTTATTTTCACTTACCGCAGTTTGTATTTGTCGTTTAGTGTCTTAAAGTATCCGGCGGAATAGACTTGCACTCTTTCATCCTCGTTCAGTGGCCGACCGATAAGCTTTTCAATTATGGCTGACATATCCACCTATAATGGGTTGAAATATAGTACAAGAAATATACCTTTTGTTATTGTTATTATACATTTTTCGGTAACATATATTAAAATGTTAGTAATCTGCATTGGACTTTCGAAAATGACTAAATTTAATGAGTGCGTAATTTGAGTATTTTATTTACTTTTTCCTATTATTCTATTTTTTATGCTGTTTGAGAAAACCGGTAGCATATTTCTTCGTTAGCATGTTTGCCTAAAACACTAGTAAGTATATTTGTGGGTAAGAACAGTATTAACTTTGCTGACGTGGCGCGGCATTAATGTTTCGGGACGAACTCACCGTGACACCTTCCACAAACATTTCGTTCACTTCCGAAACTGTTTTCAACTCAGGGTCTCTGTTCAGAAGTTCCACTCGCCGCGCGGCCTTCTCGCCCAGAACCTTCAACAAAAGCGTCGCGTGCTGCATTTATTGCAATATTTTATCGTATTTCTAACTTAACTTCTCTTTATTTGACAAGAAATTAATAGTAACTCCAACCATGCTGTGCTTAAATCATAAAATATCGTGAATAAGAATTGCTTAACTCTGCATAATTCATATAGTAACAATGTAGTGAGGAAATATTTAAAAAAGAGAAAGGCACTTGAATACTACCGTCTATATTCTTTACCTTTAGAATATGGAACTTACTTCATTATTAAGGACCAGAAAATCTACGTAATTCAGTACTGTTTCGTTTAATTTGCCCGCTTCGTCGATAGCAC